CTGTCTCTCCCGTATTGGCAGGCCTGTGTCAAGAGGTCCCACACCTGTCACCGGTGCCGGTATGCGGCCCTCGGTGAGCATGCGCTCATGGTACCTCTCAGCATATGTAGGCTGATCTTCGGGGCGTGCACACCGTGGTTCAACAACAAGAATACACTCGTTGTCCTCCGGTCCGGCTGTGCGGACGGCGTCAACGAAAACCTTCACGAGCTCGCTGACCTCCTCGACTACGCCAGGGGAACGGTGCAAGCACCTAGGGCACTGTCCCTTGCACGCCCTTGGCCCCATATACGGCCAGCTATTTGCCGCGCTCATGTGGGTGAGGCTGATAGAGCAGTCCGGCACCAGCTCCAGGAGCATTGCATGGGTAAGGATACCCGACGCAACAGATCTGTGTCTGTTGGCCTTGCAAACTATGCCTGGCGTGTGCGATCAGGTTCGGATGCTCAGCGTTCTCCCGAATTATATCGGGGTTCGACCCTACATGCTTTGTGCGGTCCCTCTGTTCGTCGCTGGCACGTTGGGCTTCGGCGGGCGTCATGCCGTCCTTCCTGTCGTCTTTCAGCCACACCATGTCCAACATCACTAGCATATAGCTAGTGGCAGATGCATGCGTCGTTATGGCGTAGGTCTCCATCTCTTCGTGCTGTGCGAAGAGCTCGTCAGCGGTCCGCCTTCCCCTGACACGCTGCAACCATGCATGGTGGTCGAAACCCCATGAAAAAACATCAATGATGATGTCCGGGTTCGTTATATCCCCCGTATAGTGTGGCTGCAGCTTCAAATCCGGATTATACACGGATGCAGGCAACGGCGTGTCCAGCTCGGGGCCGTGCGGTCCTCCACCTGGCATTATAACCAGGGCTCGCCCATGCGGGTCTCGCCTCACTCTCGCATCAAAGTTGGCCAAGTCGCGGTGGCCTTGGGCGATCGTCTTCGGGTGCACTGTGGCACGAGCAGCGGGAATCCCCGGGCTATGCCCGGGTGGCGGCCCCTTTGGCGCTGACGCCGGTGCAGCCTTTGCCGTGGGGGGTGCCTTCTTCGGCAGCTGCCCCTCTGACGCAGCCATCGCTTCCCTACTGGCAGGCTCCTTCTCCTCTACGGGCTCTACGCCTTGCTGCGAGGCTGTGCCTACCATACAATGATTAGGGAATGCTACGCTGATGCGTCGTTTCGTGTTGTTTCGAAACTCAGCTGACATCGTATAGTGCTGTGACTATGGTCTACGCCTACAGTGCTGTGTGACTGTGGTCTGTCGCTGCTGCGTCTCCAGGTGATCTGCCCACGGATCCTGTGTGAGCTAACGTGGCAGCGGCAGCAGACCTAAACATAGGAACTGGCGGCGAGGGAATCTGGAAACCCTTTATAAGACGGGGTTGCTTAACCTGGGTCAAACCTTCTGTTATGTTTATGCACAACAGCCCTGAGTCATGTGTTCGACACAACTTGATCTTGATGACAGTGTCCTCCGAAGGAAGTCGAACACCACACACACCAAATCGTAAGTCCTTGGTTATACCAAGCTGAGCCTGCGCATAAAGGGACAAGAGGAGAGGGGCAGTACCCTTAATCTCATGCGAATCAAGGACGCCTGGAACTCTCAAGTCCTGCTCCAATCCCATTCTAGAGAAAGGTATGGTCCTGCTACCCAAAGTCTCGGTAGCGCCGCTAAGACCCTTGAAGGTACGATTCCCTTCAGGTTTAAACCTGGTGCTGTAACCAAAGTTCGCAAGTTTCCCAGCCGCGTTTGCTATCCAATCGCTACCGTGAACAGTCGAGTTACATCCCTCATCTAGCACGGCGTATACATGCTCGTCCTCGTAGATATTTACTACGGGCAAATCAACCAAAGCCGGATGGATATCTGTGACCCCCTCGGTAAAAGCCACGAAACCCTGCCTTGTAGCAGAGGCCCTCGAAGAGCGCGATCTCACCGACGCCACTTCCCAACTGTTGTTGGTGGATGGCGCTGCGTGATCATCTAAGGCCTCTTGCAGGTATGCGAGAAGGTCACCGCGAGATATCACGGGCTCGGTTACGAAGTGGCCTTCTACGGTCTCTTGAAACTGGGCAATAGCCGGAACTACTACCTCTACGGGAAGGCTATCTCCCGTGCTGCCGACTATGCTGCGCAGGAGATCGAAGTCCAGGGTATTGGACTCCCGCAGCACTGTGGCTGCGTCCTCCCTAGCCTTTCGCTCGGTCTGCGGCTGCTCGTCTAGGAGCATCCCACAAAGCTTGCACTTAATGCGGGAAGTTTTCCTGCTACTACCTGACCTCTCAGTGGAGGTGTGTGGGCATGTGGCCTGGTCTATGACAGGCTTCTCTTTCTTTGTCTTAGTAACTGTGCCGCATTTCTTACAGGTCCGCATGTCTATGTATGCGTTGCTTCCCGACTTATTGAACTCCTTGCAACCTCCCCGGCATTTCCGGGGGCCTTCGCTGGACGAAGCAGCTGAGGCGGCGAGGCGAACCTCGGGCTGAAAGGGTTCAGGCGGGGGCTCTTGGCTGAGAGGAACATCCCTTCTCGTAATGCTGATGGGAGTGTCATCTCGCACATCAAAGTATTCTGTGGTCCAGTTCAAGAAGTCAGCCAACCCTATGGATGGGCACTTCTGTGTGCGCCCCCAAAGGATATACCCGGGGTATGTGTAGAGAACGCGCTCATACGTCAACCCCTTGTGCTGGCCGAAAGAGAAAACGCGATCAGAACCCGGAGGAGGGCTATCACGCATGATCCCTGCGGCGGCTGTGCGCCGAAGCTGTGGCGAGAAAAGGGTTTCGCTGCCGCGACCTTTACCGGTATTGGTCTTTGAGGGGGTTAGCTCAAGATTGGCTGGGTAACCCTCAAGCCTACCAGCGCTCGCATTCGACAGATGGACACACTCTGTGTCATCCTCCTCCACTGCGGCGAAATACGCCTGAGGCTTCGGCGCCGCCGACTTTGCGGCTGCACTGGCAGTTCCCCCAGGCTGCGCTGGGGTTGCGGTACCCTTGGGACCATTGCCCTTACTGCTAAACTTGCAGGCAGCATCTCCGGCCCAATGGCCGATCACACCGCACTTCAAGCATCTACTCTTGGCCTTAAGCTCTGCAAGCTTAGCTTTGCGGTCAGCAATAGTTAGGTTACTACGCACGACCTTCCCGCCGGATTTCCCGGTGGGCTTGCCCTTGTTCTTCCCCTTTCCTTTTCCTTTTGCCTGGGCAAATGCGGTCTGTGCCGCGTATGCAAGCTGAACTGACTCGGCATAGGAATCGTCCAAGTCATCGACCTCAGCTTCGTATGCCACCGCCGTATAGGCATTGAGTTGCAATGCTAGATCTTCATCATCGATCCATTCATCCGCGTCGCCTCCCCCAGACGCTGTGGCCTGGTACGCTTCATCACCGTAGCCGTCACCGTAGCCTTCCGCGGATTCGTGCTGTTCCTGGTGATCATACTCTACGGCGCTGCCGTCGTATCCCATGTAACCGAACTTAGGATATTGGGGCTTAGCGTCAAAACGTCTCCAGGTCCTACCTGGGCCACTAGGGTCCTTCTGAGTCAGAAGACGTTCTTTCATGTGCACCACTGAGTGGTGCTGAACAAGGACGCGTGCATACTCATCCACACTGTGCATGCGGGCAGCGGTCTTGACCATTAGCTGTTCGGACCTATCCAATCCCGAAAGCTCAACAAGGAGATTAGCCCTCATTGTCTCGGAAAGACGAATGTCGGGGTCCAGCTCTCGCAAGGTCGACCACCACCTCTTTCGGCGGGCTATGTAGGATAACATAGGCTCGCCGGGTTGTTTTGCAAGTGGGCCCGTCAGGAGCTGTCCCTGACGGAAGAGTTCGGACGCCTCTTCGGATTGAAGAGGGAAGGCTTGTCTCCTGATTTCCTCTATCAGGTAGTCAATGCCGTCATGTCGAAGCAAACGTTCCAAACCGACGTCGCGAGCAATGCAGAAGGCATCCCCTCGGAGACCTTCTAGAATCTTGCTGACGCACTCGCTCATGTCGAGCGACTCGTCCTTGACGTCTTGCAACGTGTACACCGCCGGATCTGTGTCCGGCTCTTGCTCATCGTCGCCCGTCACTTGACTGGGGTGCGACGGTAACGACTCCGCATCCTCATCTCCTGCCTCGGACACGGGCTTAGTCCGCTTTGCGCTGGACGGACTGGCGGGTATACCGCTGCTCGCATCACCCTCGGTGGGGTGTGCACTGGTCCCTTGACTGGCTCTGCCGCGCCACTTCCTTGGTGACTCGCTTTTGGACCTTGCCGATTCAGCAAAACGCAAGTCCTTCAAAGCTTCACGCCGCTGCTTCTCCTTATGCTGCAGCACGCGGATCTGTGTCCGGAAGCACCAATCGTGGAACCCAGCAGCTGACCCGTCGTATATGTACGAGCCGCTTTTGGTTTCGGAAGGGCTCAGGTTCTGTGACCAGAGATTGGGCTGGTAGCGCAAACCTGCCACGCTCATGGCTTCACCTAAGACAGTAGGGGCCTTTGCTCCACAACTATCTATCAACTACTCTACGGTCCCCGGACCACCGGCTCTCGGGGGTGATACACTAGTGGTTGTCCTCTCAGCTCCGCTACCAGTTTGAAGCAGGAACTGGATTCAGAGAGTGTCCAACCACGCGACAAAGCCTATTTTTCGGATTGAGCCCAAGACGTCTTCACGTAGGAAACGTTCAAGCTAGACATGAAAACTACGCTCGCATGAGGACATGTCAACACGGCACTGCAAGACAGGGAAATTTCACAAGGGTCTAGGGGTTAGGATTTAGGATTTAAGGTCTATGGTTTTAGGGTTTTAGGGTTTTTAAGCTTTAGGGTTTAGGTTTGTGGCTCAAGTTTCCTTGCACTAATTCCTCTCTAGACCCCAAACCCCTAGACTCTAAATCCCGAGCTCCCCAAATCTTAATAAGGTTTGGGGACTTGGGATTTAGAGCTTAGGGGTTTAGGACTTAAACGGTGTTAAACTGTTAAACCCTGTTTTCTTCCAAGAAGCTGCAGCACAGCAGCAGGAGATAGCGGGACATTGGTGCAGCGCGCAATATGTTGGAGCTACGCAAGCGATCTAACCGTTCAACAAAACCAAGCGGACTGGGCTCCCTCAAACGTGCCTATGAGTTTACCTGCCTGGGCATCCAGACTTACATGGAACCCTGAACCCAACATGTGCAAGGCTACCCTAAACCCTAAACCCTAAACCCTGCACCCTAAACAGCTCAAATCCTGAACCCTAAACCCTAAACCCTAAACGCCTGCACCCCAAACAGCTCAAATCCTGAACCCGAGATCCAGCGAACTCAGGAGGCCCTATAGACATCCTCTGGGCCCAGACCTTCGAAAAATCCCTTAGTTAGGGAATATACCTTAAATTATGGCAGGATCCCTGATATGATTTAAGGCCTAATTCCTTAGTTAAGCGATTTTGGAATGTCTGGGGATCTGAATCAACCGTATTCCTTGCTACTGGCTTGACTTTGAGCCTGGCAACGAGAACGCGAAGCAGAGATTGAGTTCTCAACCGTAAGCTCTTTAGGGTCCACAGTTCAGGGTTTAGGGGTCCAATAGAAGGGCCTTGACATAATTTTGATAGGGACCCCCAGCCCCTAACAGAGTTTAGGTAACTATTAAGGCCTTTACATTATCCCTGTACCCTGAAGCCTAAACCCCAAGCCCTAGGCTTCAAGGTTCAGGGCCCAGGGCCCTGGCTTCGAGACTCGGCCTCCTAAGGTGGTTCAGGGATGTTCAGGGTTCAGGGTTTGCCTTCTTGATTAGAGTTCCGGGTTTATGTAGGGGTAGGGGTCCCTGACTAAGGGCCAAAACTGCAGGAGATGATAATTTCTCATTTTGTCTCAAGGCAGTGTGTTCAGCAATCTGAAGTGAACGTAGAAGTTCGGGATCGGGGCCCTCAGGGGCGTCGGCCTGAAACACAAACCGTATGAACATCAAATAAACCTTGGCCTCGCCACTGTTGAGTCGGACTGCGAATGAGTGAATCTTGAACCAACAGACCATAGAAACGACATACATACACTATTCTGCAGTCGGAAGGAGCCCACAATATTCTCGAATAAATCCTCCACACTCAAGCCCGAAAAACCCTAAGCAGTGATAGAAACCCAGACTAGACCCCAGAGATGAGGAAACCAAGGCCCCCAGCAGATCTCTTCGCTGGAAGTAGACATCGCCCTCAATTTCGGGTGATGCGATGAAGCCATATCCTTGCGGCATTTAGGCTTTTCTTGTGGAATCCTCCTTACCCCAAGGGTCCAAGTACCCAACAATCATATACCCTCAAAAATCCTAACCTACATGACGACCATCCTAAAACCGGGTACCTAATTATTAGGCCCCTATAGTATAGAACCCTTATAGTAGCCATTGTAGTAGCCCCTTGTAAACCCCTTTAAAGGAACCCTACACTGCACCCTATTGGGTCCTTTTTGGACCCTTGGGGTTATGTAATTAAGCACCCGCAACAAACCCATCAGACCGCAAACCGCAAACCCCTGAAGGCTTGGGGGGTTGTGTTGTCAGTTGCTCGTTCTGGGCTTGCTACATGGGTATTAGGGGACTTATAACCCCACAAATAACCACCCATGAACCTCCAACTAGGGCTTCTCGGTTGCGGGGTCCAGCTTTGGCCCGCACTAGCGAATACTGTTTTCTCGACTTACAAAACAGACGAATTCAAACCCTACGTTTTCCAAACCATTCTCTTTCGACTCCCGGAACACTGGAGTATAGCAAACCAGTATATGGCTAGCCCAGTCTTGTAGCATAGGGGGTGATAGTTGTTCCTTTTCTCATGTTCACTATGTGACTGCGTGTGATGCCATTGTTGCTAGCGTTACCGCCCTGTACAGCAGTTGTTGTTGCAAGTCTTGCAAGCATTCAAGATAGCATGTTCCATGGCTGCTCCTATATTGCTGGTATTGATACCGAGACTGATACCGAGACTAACCCCTAAACCGTTTAACCCGACCAGAACCACCATCGCCCAGATTCGATGACACCGCTGGGGACCAAACTGAACCTGACCCAGTAACGAACCCCCCAAACCCTGTGCGAATTATAAGGAAGCCCCTACATTACAGGCTTGGGGTCCATATACCCATATAGCATATATACTGTAGCCTCAAAGTACCCATACATGGAATACTTCTAAGGCTAAAGTCTCTACTCTTACTTCCCCAATAAGCCACAGAAAAAAAGAGGTTAAACTTTCCGGTTGCTACTACACTATAAGAACCCAACAAGTTTCAAGGCTGGGTATTGGGGAGCTAAGTACTATTTGGGTACATGGACCCCTAGATGCGACTTAGTAAGGTTATGAGTACCTTAATTGGGGTTATAAGTATAGTTACACGAATTATAACCCTAGTTACTCAGTCCCATGATCCTTCAAGTACGGATTCCGAAAACCCTAAACCCAAAACCCAAAGTATATATACTATTTGGGTACATGGACCCCCTAAAAACAGGCTTGGGTTCCCCCACCTTTTAGGCCCCTACATTATAGAACCCTTATAGTAGCCATTGTAGTAGCCCCTTGTAGACCCTTTAAAGGAACCCTAAACGTGATCCTCTAAGTAGACCCTAAACCCTAAACCCCTAAAGATCCCTGTAAGGAACCCTATAGATCCCCTTTATATACTATTTGGGCACATGGACCCCTAGGGACAGGCTTGGGTTCCCCCACCTTTTGCGGTGATGAAGGTCTTGATCTGACCCTGGTGCGAGGTCATGGCCTAACCTGCTCAGGAATGCCACGGTTTAGGGTTTAGGGTTATAGGGTTCAGGAATGCAACGGACAAAAATCTGTACTAAACTTAGTAGCTGTTATAGTAACCCGTATAGAATCTCAACAACAAGCCCGAGAGCCTTAAGGCGTTATACGGCTTTGCACAGTTCTACAGCCCAAAGAGTACATGCACCCGAATAGAATATATACTTTGGCCCAGAAGTAGCTATATAGGGACTACTTTCAGGTCACTGAATACACTATTTGTGTACACGGACCCTTAGGGCAAGGTTATTGAAGGATACGGTTCACAGGAATTCCGGATTTAGGAGCTAGGGCTCGCTTCAGGGGTTGGAACCCTTAAAGCTAAGCCCTAACCGGCCCGATGCAGGGGTTTAGTGAAGGGGTCACGAGGTTAGAAGTTGGGTAGTTGAAAAAATTACGCTGCTCCGTTTTGGGGGTACCTGAAGTAATAGGTGCCGTATTATATTAAGGACCCAAACAGGGGCCCTAATTGAGAATTATATTAAGGACCCAAAAAGGGGCCCTAATTAACACAACGACCAAGTTAGAGTCTAGCCGTCGGGAGGCTCGGATTCAAGGTTCGAGAATGAAGGAGGCCAGGGCTGAAAGTCAAGTACGAGGGATCTTTTTTTTTAGTTTTTTTTTTTTTTTTTTTTTTTTTTATGGGCCCTTTTTTTTAGGGTTAGGGTTTAGGGTTTAGGGTTTAGGGGGGATCTTTAGGATTTCGGGTTAGAAGGGTTTTGGGCTTAGGGTCACGAGTTTAGGGCACGGTAGGGTTTAGGGGCAAACCATCAGTTTGATGTTCGTCGATGTGGGTTAGTTTTCAGATCTAGTGACTGGAACTTTTCAACCAGCCCTTCATTGGAACTTTGGAGGTTGACTTCAAGACGCAGGAGCTACCTCAAGATGCAAACCCATATTCAACTTCCATCATACGTCCATGCCCCCCCATCAGGACAATCATGGATCATGCCACCATCACTCATCCTACTCGCCATACCCATCGTCATCAGTGTGATCACGAGAGTCGTCAGCATCATCATGATCATCACATCATCATCACTGCCACCATCATCATCAGCAGCCGCACCAGCATGGTCGTCACAACCATCATCATGAACATCATCACCTTCACCTCCCAATAGTCCATCACCAGCGGAATCAACACATAAGCACCATCATCATCAACATGGTCGCGATCGTCATCGTCGTCACTATCGTCATTGTCATCCTAATATTCCATGTCTGCCTCGTCACCAGCATCACCGCTGTCGTAACAAGCACCATCGTCATCGTCATCCACATCATCATCATCATCATGGACCCCATCGCCAGGGCCGTCATCACCTCCCCAAAGCCAAAGTAGGCCACGAAGCCCGTAACACAGCGAGAATAGGATTTAGAGTGTAATGCGACATCTCAGCTCCAACACTCAAACTCAGTGCAATGATCTGATACACAATGGCTGATCCTGTTTTTGAGGGCCCTAAGCCCTATTTGGGCTGAAGGTTTCAATTTCAGAGCTTTGCAGATTTAGGCGCTTGGGGACGTAGGGTTTTGGCTTTACGCTACGGGCTGCGAGACCTGCGAGACTTTAACAAGATGTGGGAGTGTATCGGTTTATATCAAGTTGGAGGATGCTCGGGACATGGATTGTTGAAGCAAGAATCAGAGTGTTGGGTGTTTCAGCATTTGGCATTTGGGGGTTAATGCTTAAGATGTACAATTTAAATTCAGGCTTGAGCATTTGGGATTTAAATTCCTGCACGTTCAACACCCGCATGGCGCCTCTGGCAAAAGGGGCAGCCGCCCCCCGGCGCCCCAGAACGAGGCAGGAAATAGGGTTGCTTTGGGGCGCGCGGCAGCAGTATCAAGATTCGACAGCAAGCTTACCGCACCTGTAGGTCAAACCGAACCCTTTAAGACACAATGAGCCCCAACAGAGCTTGTATAATACTTAAGGTTCATGTACCAAATATCGGAGGCATGGTATAAGGGTATAGGTAACCTACTTTTCAAGGGACATCTGGTACTGAAGGAAGGCATCCTTCAACCGGGAGCCCGTGTTGGCCTATACAAGGGTTAGCAGGGGTGGCAGGACGGCTTAGGGTTTAGGGTTTGGGGGTTTAGGGTGAGGGCTTACAGCTACCACTTTCAACCTCCCACTTCGTAAGCTGCTTGACCCATTTAGCCAATCCATGCTAATCCCCAAGGTACCTTTATCTTACGGACTTAGGCCTAAGTATCCAATATAGGAAGCCC